TAGAATTCATAGGCTGATCATTTGACTGCCTCCCAGTGGCTTAATGATTAGGAGCTCGCCTTGTAACCAGAGGGTCCTAGGTTCGAACCCTGTCGTTGGGCGCGTACTGATGAAGAGTCCCAAACTAGGACGAAACAGCTATCCAGTACTCCCAGGTTATCCAATGCTTCCTTAACCAATGCCAGCTGATGATGAAATCCTGTACCCAGTCAAATCCCTACAAACCAACACTTGTATACCGGAATTTCCTGAACTGTGAATCGTTGATAAACACAGGTGATAGCCTACCAAATTTGTCTATAGTCTGTCGAGATGAATCATAAAATTGGCATCCAGATAGCTTCAAAGCCCTGTCAATTTTTATTTTATCCGCTAAACTTTTATTTAATATATTTCGATTCTTCTTTATTTCCTTTTAAACCTGATTCACAAGTAGTTGCGTGCAGTTAGCTTTTCCGAAACACAATTGCACAATACAGGACAATTTTTAGTTAAATTCCGTCTTTTAATAACGGATAGAGACCGATCAAGTCCTCATGCGGGAAGAAATCAACATAGATGAGACTTCATAAAAACGGTTGAGGCGACCTAATTACTAAAGAGGGGAAAATAAAACGATGAATTGATCACTTGGAAAGACCCCTGAACCGACCATTCCTACTCACAACTCGTCCAGCAAACACCAGTCCTCAAGAGAAAACAGAAGTCTTGAATGCTATCAAGCTTATGAAGTCCTGAAAGGCAGAAGAACCGAGTGAAATCCCTCAGCAAGCACTCAGAATTCTTCCGAGACTATAGAAGATAAGCTGATGCTACTACTGCAGGAAGTTTGGAAGGAAGGATAGGTACTTACAGATGTGTAGAAAGACTACCTTGCGAAACTATCAATGAAGAGAGACTTAGGTTTCTGCAAGAACTACAAGCGAAATCATGCTCTTTTCTTCATCAAGAAAAATATGAGGTAGCAACATTCTGGTATAGAAATCGAACCTGAGCGCTGTGGTAGGCAGAGTCTCAAAGTGTAATACTGATAACGTTTTCAGCACAATTTATTGCTCATGATCATATAATTGTAGATAGAGGCTTAAAAAGGCACTGGATGCAGACTTTTAACCGAACTAGCTTGATTCAGTAAAGCAAATCTTGTTCTGAGCAAATAGCAACTCTACCTCAACTTCATCGACTTTAGAAAAGTTTTCGACGATTCTGACCATGAAGTGATTTAGAAATTCTTTGAAAACCACAAAGTACCCCAAATTTTTGTCAACCTCATTCAACAAAATATATGACAGTGTCAAATTTTGAGTGATCAGCAATTAAAAACTCAGCGAAGCCGATGGCAATCCTGATTGCGGTAGATTGGATTTCGCTGGCAGAAGAAGATAAAAATATGCTGTACCGATGAGAAGACTAGAAGATTTTGATTTCGCAAATGATTTGTGTCTAACACAAATTTGAAGGCTTACAGGGAAAACATGACGAGGTAGGCAGAAAAGACAGTACTTCAGGCAAACATGGAAAAAAAGACGGAGGTGATGAAAGTGAGCAACCAATAGCAGAAACAAGAGCCAATCACAATCAATAGGAAAGATATGTCACTTGCTTCACTTATTTAAGCGGCGCAGTTTTAACTGCAGCAAGTAGGCATGGATTTGGATATTAGAACTAGAATAGGAATGGCAAGACAGACATTCATTACTCTGGAATCACTATGAACATCTTCAGTACTCTGCATTTAGAAGAAGATTCGAATTTTCAGCACCAATGTTAAGAATTTTATCAATAGCTGCCTTCGCTGGCTCCATATTTAAGAGAATATTGCCATCCTGAAATGACTAGGAACCAGAAATTCTTTGAGATCGCCAATCAGGAACGTATTATTCACAACTATTTCGATGGACTGGACACATCCTGAAGAGGCAGCTGAGTGACATAGCTCACCAGAAAGATCTTCGAGTGGAACCCTAGTGAGCAATGGTGACTTATACGCAGGTACCAGGGTGACATGGAGATGTTTCTGCGAGAGGAGACCAGAGGTTATAGACAAGTGTGTAACCCATGAAAGATGAAGGCCACAAAAAAAGGAAAAGTGGAGTTTTAAACTTGTAGTCACTAACGCTAACTATCTTTGCATTCCGTTTTTGTTAATTTAAAATTATGTTACATTATATCTTATTTCAGTCAGGTAAACATAATAATAAACAAAATTTCCGAATGCAGATGGTTTTAATTAGTTTGATTTTCTCACAAGTTTTGTTTACCTTGTGATGTATTCATTTAGGTGACACAAACATACTCTATGTCAAACGTGGGAGTATTAAACAAAGAAAAGAAAATTATTTCAAAGATTGTTTCATTGCCTGATGAAGTTCAAAAATATTCACAATATACTATTTTACGAAAGAAATCTCATTATAGCAAACTCGTCACTTTTATTTATGGAATGTTTGCGTTATATGAGTCAAATTATTCTATGCTTCACCGTTGTTTCTACTTAGGGTGTTTAATTAAATGCATATATCACATACGTTAAGTTGTGGCTAGCGGCTAATCCATATTTTGGTTTACTAACTCTACTTAATAAGTGGTTATGCTTAAAAGTGGACCTGTATCAGTGCTTCGAATTTCGAATGCTTGATAAGCGCTTAAGAGCTCTCGGTCTAAGTACACAAAATCCTTAACCTCGCCTAACCGATAGTTAATCTAGGAAAGAGAGAGTTTTAGCGTGATGTAAGTTAGCGAATACCTTGAAAAAAAGCAATATCACCAATGTGCGTCGGTGTTAGAGTGGTTAGGACTCTTGCCGACCAAGGACTTGGTCCGGGGTTCGATCCCCTGCTGACGTACACCTGATATCAATGATCGGCCTGCGAAATTCTGGTTAACGGCATCATATATTGAAAATTCCATATTTTTACCGAAAATTCTGTGTGGAGTCAAGCTATAATCAAAGAAAAAAAAGTAAGACTTCATAGTCAATAGAGCAAGTAGCGTGTCACAAAACCAGCTCGTTATTATTGTAGTCAACAGACACCCGAAATCGCGCAAGAGATGGCAAAATCCATACTGTTTCACTCTTTTTTTTGAGATGGTTGTGTTCTGTGAGCTGCATAGTTAATTTGAGAAGCATTCATCGCCCTACTAGGCGACATTTTCAGTGCATTCTTCGATTTGAAGTGAGCTTTAGGAATTCTCCACGAGTTCGTTAATCATCTCTCCTGGTCTGCGACCGTGGACGTGATTGGTTGTTCTTGTGTCTTTTCACATCTTCTAGCCTGCTTTTATTGGAACTGGTAGTTTCTTTGACATGAATTTTGACCCTTTGTGTGTGAAGTTTCCTTCATATCGGTTGATAAATTTTGTGTATCTCTATGTCTCTACTGATTGATGATTCACTGCAATACTGAGCAGGCTCCTAAAAACTCTCTAGCATTCTTGATGTTTCCTCTGTCTAATATTTGAACGTTGTCCCAGTCGAAATGATGTCCGTGGTTGTTGAAACCAAAAGACCCCAAGGAAATCACAAAGAAAATCGCTCCGCCATATATTTAAAGCATTTCTCAGAAATCACTACAAGACTCCTCAAACCTTGATGAGGAATTGACGTCGTACACAAATCAACAAAGTCACTTCACTCAATTCTATGTCAACCAAAAGACTCAACAGCGAAAGAAGTTAAACCAACGTCATCTACTAAATAAATTGTGACAACTGCGAAGAACACTACATTGGCCAAAGTGGACTCCTCTCCTCTTCGTCTTCGTATCCACGAACATAAGCTAGCCGTCATGAGACATGATATCCACTCCCTCATGTCGCTCACTGCATACAGACAACTACGGACATCAATTCGACTGGGACAACGATCAAATACTACCTAGAGGAAACAACAAGAATGCAAGCTAGAGAATTTTTAGAAGCCTGCCTGGTATTCCAGTGAATCAATCATCAATCAATAGACACCACATCGAGATGGAGAAAATTTATCAACCGATAAGAAAGAAACCCTTACAAAGACAAAGGGTCCCATTTCAAGTCAAAGAAACAGTCAGTGTCCATACAAGTAACGTAGAAGGTATGAAAACACACAAAAACAACCAATCACGTCCAAGGTCACCGATCAGGAGAGATGATTAATAAACTCGTGGAGAAATCTAAAAGCTCACTTCAATTCAAATTGAAGTATGCGCTGAAGACGTCACCTAGTGTTGGGGTGATGAAAGCTTCGCAAATTAACTATCCAGCTCAGAGAACACAACCACATCAAAATCATCCACTTTAGCTACAAATCTTCTCTATCATATTAGATGTTTCTGTTTCTCATCATCCTGTCACTCCTTCTTTTTCTATTTTGATAGCATATAAACTGATGATAACTTTAACCAAAATTGTGATGCCTGAATTTCAGATAAGTTGATTTTATAATGTTTTCTCTATTACGTGTCAAATACTGAAGTATGAAATATTATTATTTACTACCATTGTAATTGCAGGTGGTTCGCAGCTGATGAGAACCTGTGAAATAGAATGATAGCATCATTTCATACTGCGAATTCGGTCTTTCTTTCTTATGAAGGGAACCAAATGTATGAAATTATCAGTTTATCAGTAGCTCAGTCTTGGAACGCTCATCAACGACAAAAATCCTCCTCTTAAATCCTCTCGACTGCTTGTCAACGACTCCCTAACCACCATTCAGTTAACTAGAAGGCTAGGTGTAGGGCAAGACACGCCACACCATAAAATAACGTCACAGCTATTGAGACTTCCAGACTTGAAGCACCATGTTCAAAAGGGGACGGGAATAATTAAATCCTATGGAATATAATTGTCTCCTTTTAATTCGTTATTTTAAAATATCATAAAATAGAAAAAAAAGCAGATTGCGGCGAAACAAGCGTATTCTGTTAAATGCGTCTAAAGTGAAGGTTTTTTCACTGCAGCACTTATATATATATCATACATAATAGCAAACAAATCAGATCTCTACCATCACTTACCATCACACGACACATAACCAATTATAAATAAACTGATCAGTATATGAAGTACAATGTGAGACATTCTACAAAACAAAATCAAATTGACAAGTAGAGAAATAGATGAAATATAAAATAAAATGATAAAGTTAGTATGGAAATAAATTTATGCAGAATATTATTACACAGCCAATCGATTTCATGTGAGGGTAAATCCGTCCAACGTTATTGTTTGTTTTTAAACTGTGAAGTATTTTTATATCTTTACCTGAGGATACCTTTGTGAAGTGAATGAGTGTAATGAGGGGTTTACATAAGATACATACGGAGAAACTAAAACAACTGCATTATATATTATTATCATTTTTTTAATTACTAGTGGAACATAGGGCTTCAGCTCCACGCCTCCATGGCGTTTGGTGCCCAGCTAAAGTTGTCACCTGGCTCCAAGTCTGCCCACATTCTTCCATTTCCTCTTCACATGACCTCCTCCAACTCACTCTTGCACTGACGACCAACTCGCCGCTTCCACTCAAGCGCAAGGCTTGTCTAGGGATGTCACTTGATGGTTTCCTCAGAGTATCGTCAGCCAATACATCTGCATTTCTTCCTGCCTATTTGTTTAACAATCAATTCCTGGTTGGTTCGCTCCCGGAGATCCTTGTTGCTGATTAAACGACCGCACATATGTCTTCAATTAGTTGTACAGTAAAGCTGTCACAGACATAGTTTCCGTCTATCAAGCATATGTTCGATTTCTAAATTGTTAGTTGTGTGTGATTCTGTCCCTTCTGAGATTCGAACTAAGTACTTATCCATCAAAACGGCACAGTTAACAGGTTTTAGTGCTAAATAACCACCAATCAAATAATTAAGGGTAAAACAAAAACCATCGACAAAGCATTTATTCGATGAGTCGAAATGTCAATAGACATCAAGCAATCAGGTTCGATGAAAAAGCCTAACGGAAAAATCAAAAATCAAAGTAATAAATTTATCAGAAATGTACGCTTTTTTTGGCCTTTCAGCAGATGTTAGTAAAATCAAAAGAATTAACATTGTACAAAAATTGTAACAGTTTAATGTCCCTTCGTTTGGAACCCTTCCTTCGAGAGAAGCAGTCAAGAAAGTAATACCTTGAAACTAAAGTAGTAAGATATATGCAGAAGAAAAAGACGTCTCCATTGAGGATTTTCAGAATCTCAAACATGGTCAAGAATGATGACATCTGTGCCTCTGTAAAGATATTCCAAGCCTTTTCATAATCAACCCCAATCAATTGATTCTTAGTGTCTCCAGAGCCTCAGAATGACAGCCGACAACTTTCCAGGTGGAAGAGACTAGCAGTCAAATACTTCATGGCCTAGTCATCTGTTTTTGTCTGATCATCCTAAAGCTTTATAAATCTACTCCAGACAACAATATTTTTGCCCAGAAGTCTATGGAATTTAGTATCTTGATTGATTTCACTTAGTCAACAGGGAGAAAATTGATGACCGATGATGATAATTAATAAATGAAAGATAAGATCAGCTCCCGTGAAGATAATTTATGGAGTATAATGCAGTGAACTGGGAGTTCAGAGAGTTGTGACTGATGAAAATCGACCACATGAATAGTTAAACTCGTTTATTATTTCATGATTGATTTTTGAAAAGACAGTTGTATTAGAGTATTATTCAACTGTAAGGTATTTTAATCATTCTAAGTATCAATGTCTGTGCATCGGTGGCACAACTGTAGAATACTCGTTACCCACGCATCTGGTCAGAGGTTCGATCTCCGGCCACCAACGCACTCCTTTACCTTGCTAAGCCAGTAATAAGGCTGGTAAAGAGGGAAGGTTGAGCATGAGGCTAGTAGCTTCATGCCGTAAAATAAACAACACTGCTACCAAGACGTCAGTCCTGTAGCTTGAAGCCACCCTATGTTCCACTGGGAAGGTAAGGCCATAGTAAAAAAAAGTTTCAACGTCTAGGAAATTTATTTCCTTGATCACTCCAGCAATTTAATTATGTAGCTATGCAAAAGTAGAAAAAGTACATTAAAGCTTTTTCTCACTGCTGACATCACACAACATTATGAGATTAAGAGTACCGTATCTACGGATATACAAAGAAGAATGTACAGGAGAAATGCTAAACTGAAGATATTCATTTGTGGAGGCGTGAAGCTTTCACTGCCATCTTGAACAAGCACAGATATGATAGAGAAGATTTGTAGCTCAGGTGGATGATTTTGATGTGGTTGTGTTCTCTGAGCTGGATAGTTAATTTGCGAAGCTTTCATCACCCCAACACTAGGTGACGTCTTCAGCGCATACTTCAATTTGAATTGAAGTGAGCTTTTAGATTTCTCCACGAGTTTATTAATCATCTCTCCTGATCGGTGACCTTGGACGTGATTGGTTGTTTTTGTGTGTTTTCATAACTTCTACGTTACTTGTATGGACACTGACTGTTTCTTTGACTTGAAATGGGACCCTTTGTCTTTGTAAGGGTTTCTTTCTTATCGGTTGATAAATTTTCTCCATCTCGATGTGGTGTCTATTGATTGATGATTGATTCACTGGAATACCAGGCAGGCTTCTAAAAATTCTCTAGCTTGCATTCTTGTTGTTTCCTCTAGGTAGTATTTGATCGTTGTCCCAGTCGAATTGATGTCCGTAGTTGTCTGTATGCAGTGAGCGACATGAGGGAGTGGATATCATGTCTCATGACGGCTAGCTTATGTTCGTGGATACGAAGACGAAGAGGAGAGGAGTCCACTTTGGCCAATGTAGTGTTCTTCGCAGTTGTCACAATTTATTTAGTAGATGACGTTGGTTTAACTTCTTTCGCTGTTGAGTCTTTTGGTTGACATAGAATTGAGTGAAGTGACTTTGTTGATTTGTGTACGACGTCAATTCCTCATCAAGGTTTGAGGAGTCTTGTAGTGATTTCTGAGAAATGCTTTAAATATATGGTGGAGCGATTTTCTTTGTGATTTCCTTGAGGGCTTTTAGTTTGATAGTTTGACTTGAGGGTATGTGTCTAAGCACATTGAAAGCTAACTTCAGCATGAGTTTCATGATTATATTTCTGAAAGCCTAGTCATGAAATGTCTACTAACAAATATCAAATCTTTAAGTATTGATTTTATACGGATGTTTTTTGATTGGATGTAAGATTTCATCATCAGCTGGCATCGGTTAGAGAACCATTGGAAAACCTGGGAGTACTGGACAGTCAGCTATTTCGCCATAGTTTAGGACTGTTCATCAGTACGCATCCATCAGTAGTGTTTGAACCCAGAACCTTCTGGTTACAAGGTGAGCTCGTAGTCCATTGAGCCACTCGGACATGATCCAATTGCCAGCCCATGAATTCTAACTTCTGCGTTTGATGACATAGCGTGATCATTTCTCAATGTCTTCTTCAATGAGTTACTGCGTCATCTTCAACTTCACATCTCCTGAAATGTGAAGGTAACCGCCAAGAAACAAATATGCTAAATTGTCTTTTTCATCAGAGCGTTAAAACGCTTTTATCTCATCATTCATGTTTCAATATTTGAGTGTTATTTCGATTTCACTAAAAAAACACGTCTGTTAGGACAATTAGAAATCTATATTAAAACCATTAAGCTCATTAAAGATAACAATGTCGAAGACGTCCGGCTGATCCGTTAATCTACTTCAATATTATTTCAAACACTTTTGTGAAAGTTTTCCAACAACTGTCATCACTTTATCAAAACAAATATTGTCATCACAAAAAACAAGTTTAATAAAAAGACAAGAGATAATGTGGGATTTATTTAGAAAAGATTAGACAATTAAAAACTTTATTCAGTTTAATCTAAACAGAGTGTAACGAATAAAACCTGAAATCAAGTAGAAAGGATATTAACATTAGTCTGTCCTCTCATGAAAATAAAAAGGAAATTTAAATAAATATTTCTCCATGATTCTTAACTGGTTTGACCCACTTGACTATCTATCTATCTATCCATCTATGTATCTATCTATTTATCTGTCTATCATAATTGCATTTCTAGTCTGACATTTGTTTCACTGTAAACATACATCTCATTGTTAGACTCTAAAAATAGAATTTTTTTGAATTGCGTGCCGCGTTTTTTAAACTTAAAAATAGAAAATCGTATCAATATTATTATTATTACTACTACTACTACTACAGGAAATGCTAAAAACTTTGATGTCTACTCTTACTAACTTTTTGATGTGTAGATTTCAAGACAAGAAATATACATATAACCAATTTGAAACATTCTCTTAGAGGAAAAGCTTCCCTTCTATTTTTACCTCAATACAGCTTAAATGTCATACTAATTTAACTTTCATGTTTGTTTTAAGTTTAAGTTTGTTTTAAGTTCATAGAGTGTAATTACAGAGTGACATGAGAATGATGGTATGCGTAAATATAAAATAGGTATCTCTCAATGAAATTCGAGTTTATACACCATATCTTTACATACATTCAAGAAAGAAAAAACAATGTGTTTTAGCAGATTTTATCAACACTTATCTGTACATTTACAGTCATTATTTAAGTATGCTTTTTCTTGTGCCTCTCTTTGAACGTTTTCAGTCTTAACGCACCACTAAAACATGATTAACTGTGTTTATTGTATTTTCACGTTGATGGTGAAGATCAAATCTAAAAACGTATATTAATCGACGCTTAAGTAGACTAAAAGACGACTTTAACATTATTCATGAATAAATATAATACTTTAGCGTCGATTTTATCATGGACCAATATCATAAGACTTGTCTCATCCAAGAGTACGACTCATTCGCATCTTATCCGTGACCTTAGGAGGGTCCGAACCAGAGATCTTCAAGATATGAGACTAAGCCCACTGGTCATTCAGTCAATGATCTGTGAATTCTATGAGTTCTTGATACAGCCTTAGTATTGATCAATGCCACCAATGTGGAATACGCTTCACTTTAACTTTTTTTGGAACCCCATTGGTCATGGCTTTCATCAGGACTTCAAGACATTCTATCCTATAGCCAGTAATCTACACTCTTTAAAAGATCAATAATCTAACTAAATTTCAGGTCTTTAGGAGGTTT